CACCTGCATAGACTGAAGATGACAGATGATCCAAAGTGTCCCCACTGCCAAGAAAATGAAGACCTACAGCACATAATTTTTGAATGTAGACGGTACGGACTACAGCGTCTAATACTTGTTGCTGAACTTGAAGCAATCGATAAGGTCGTCCCTAATACGTTGCAAGACTTACTTAACGATCTCAAGTATTTCAAGCCACTATTCAAATTCATCGTAAATACTGTAGACAAAATATAACAAGGAAGAGAAAGAGTTTACTGTGGAAGTGAAAATTATGATGTGATGTGATAAACTCAATGACATTCTGTTATACGTGACAGTTGTTTTGTTTACTTTGTTTTCGACATGTTCAACGTTTGGCTTAAAAAGGACTAGAATCCAGAGCCGTAAAACATATTAATAATAAAAAAAAAAATGTTTAGCAACTGGGCAACAGTGTGACCGTTTTTGGTATTTTCGGTACTAAATTGGTATAATTTGGGCTCCGTAAAACTGATATAGCTTTTTGTTGGTATAATTTCAAAATCTGGTATTTTTTAGTACAATTTTAAACTTAGAACAAGTTTTAGCATATTTTTCGCATTATTTTTTGGCAATTAGCAACACTGACTTCCATTCGTTCACTTAAGTCTTCTACGCACTATCCATCTTGCTGGATCCAGCACGCGGGACAGCGCTATACACGTAAAAGAGATGGGGATACAGGATCTCTAGATATGGAATTACATGAAATATACTTAGGTGTAAAAGTGTCTAATGAAATAGCGCTGTTAAGAAGTCAATCAAATAATAGTAGTATCGAAATTAGAGATTTTTGCTAAGGTGTCAAAACTTTTTGATTGAGCTATGTAATCAACTTAAATGTAGATTTCACATTCATGAAAAAATATTTTCCGAGTTACGGTTCATAGATCCACAAGTAGCGGCTTATGAAAATTTTACATAGCTAATCAGCGTTATGAATAGTTTTTCAAACATCATAACAAATGATACCACAAAACAATTGATTGACGAGGAATATCGTCAAATTAAATACAATTCCGAAGTACAAAACTTAATGTGTGGTTCCAGTAGTAGTACAAGGGCAGCTGTAAATGTAGAACAGTTTTGGGACAAACTGAGTCATTTTCTTGATAGTAGAAACGTCAAACGTCTAAATACAAAAATTTTACTAACTTTGTTAAATGTCTAATCTGCATACCCATTTCTAAAGCTGAATGCGAAAGATTTTTCAAAAGTAAATATTGTTAAAACAGACTATAGAAACAGATTTATATCTAAACATATTGCGAGCATTTTACATGTAAAACAAGGTCTAAATGAAAATTGTGTCTCATTTGACCCACCGAAAGACATGTTAAAAAAAACTCGTCCAATATTGACTATTTAGAATAATTCATATGTGTAAATATAATTTTATTGTTTAAAATGATAATAAATACAATTTGAACGTAAGTGTTTGTTTGTTTGTCCTACTTTTACGATCCAGCGGGGAAAGTTAGTTTCAGTATATTTTTAGTATAATCCAGCATGAGCTTTGGTATTATTTAGTACTGGGAACATTATGATTTTAGTAGATCACCTTTTTTTTAAAACGGTCACACTGCTGGGCAATGCAGCGTTGCCAGATACACTGTAATTACAGCAGATCTACTGTATTTTCACACGATCTACTGTACACTGGGACCAATTCTGGCGTTACATTCTCTAAACCTAAACTTAAAATTAGAGTGCTAATTTTAGTTTAGGGTTAGAGAATTGGTATTCTGAAATTGCTAACTAACTAAATTAAGAGAACAGTTGACAGCTGTAAACGAGCATCTAAATTGAATTCACAGATTATGTAAAAGCATTGAACCGGTAATTATCGGTTTACTCAAATTAGCAATAATTACTTATTATTCAGTGATTTTGACTTATTTTTTTATTTTATTTAAGTAAATCTTTGTTGTTCTTCATCATCTTTAAAATATGAAAACTTAACATAACTTTGTTATTTTACTGTATGAGAAATTATGAATCAATAATATTAAAGAGTGAATACTTGCCTACTCTGTGGTACTTAGGGTTTCTAGATTGGGAGTGTTTATCCTTATTTTGGGGAAAAATAAGAACTTGGAGAAATGTAATCTGCGGGGAGAACTTAAGGAATCATATTTTTTCTTTGAAAAAGCCAAGTATTTACTTGGGCTAAACGATGTGACGAAAAAAAAATACAAAGTAGTGCATCCACAAACTATATAGTGATGCTAGCGCATAGTGCATCGAACGAGCAATTAGGTAGGTACCATTGCGCCGTGATGCAGTCTAATCATTCAGATGAAGTAAATAGGGTAAGTGTACTCGTCCGAGCAAAAACGTTTATTGTTTTGTCTGATGTATCACTACGATTGCCCGGCGTTTGTTTCATTTGTTGCTCGGTTGTCAGTCGGTTACTGCATGAAAACCGAGCATATAGCGTATAAATAGCGTGAATGTTATATTTACATGGATTATGGACATAATCCATGTAAAATAAATTATTGAATATTCGTTAACTAGAGAAGTTCGATGGCGCAGACGATTAGCTCGTTCGGCTGTGATCGTTGAAGTTAAGCAACTTTCGCAGTGGTCGGTCATTGGATGGGTGACCAAACATGTTCTATGTCGAGTTCCTCGTTCTCCCAGCTGCATCTGCGGTCGTTAGCACCCGCCAATCCGCACTGGGCCTGCGTGGTGGGTCATGGCCTATTCTCTCTATTTCATCCATAGGGAAGGCCTGTGCCCCAGCAATGGGGACATTAATAGGCTGATGATGATGATGATGATTAGTTAACTCTGCTACGGCCGACAGGGTCTAACGTGAAGCATCCTTGAAAATTTCTCGCATCGTAAATTCCCAACCCAGCGTATCTATCTAATACCTATAATTTCGGTTTCGGTAAGAGGTTGTAAAATTATCCCTTCGGCTGTTTTGTGAAGATTTTATTCTCATTTATTGTATAATCCGAGATGCGTAACCTATCTTTATCTTTTTTGTTTCTATTAGTTTTTGGCGAGATCATCCCAATTATTCATTTGGTGAAGATGCCCAGTTTAGGATATATAAAAACAAACTTTTCAATTACAAACAGTGGTGTCCATTCTGGCGTGATTCTCTAAACTTAAAACTAAATTTAACATCAGTCTCTCTTTTTCATTCTGTATAGAGAATGACAAGGAAACACTGCTGTCAAGTTTAAGTTTAGATTTAGAGAATCGTGCCAGAATCGACACCAGTAGGTACTTATTTCGTGTTCGGTTATTTTAAGAAATATGATTAGCTTATAAAAAGTTGGAAATAAAAACATTTCTAACTAATAGATATTAAAACTGCTTCATAGAAACAAAACCATATAAAACAAAGGAACAAATAATACATTAAAGTATAAAGTACCTACATTTAAAGTCAAAACAACATTTGGTTTGCAATTGGTGATTGGAATGCAAATCACTGACACCATACCTCTATTATCTTGTTAATTATTTGACTATGTACTTTAGATGTAAGTAGGATCTGTAAGTATTACTTATAGAATTAGTACATAGATTTTTTACCTTTTTAAGTTGTTTTTATATGAAGTGGATTTTTATTTATGTTATATAAGATTTTACCTTAAATTATTTAGTATTTTATACAAGATATACGTGTACATTACCTACGAAAGACCACAATAGCGCAAGTATAACGCTTTCGTTCTGCGATCGTGAATGTTAAGCAATTTTCACAATGGCCGATCTTAGGATGGGTGACCAACCCAAAATGTATTAAATCGAGTTCCTATGTTGCTGCTCGCTGCAACTCGGATTTATTATAAGCATGACACATTAATAGGCTTATAATAAATCCGCATCGTAACATAGACCCACCTACCTTTTTTAAAAAAATAAAAGATCTAGCTAATATATTATTATCACCGTCGTTGTTCATTATTGTATAAAATTTATGTCTTTTTTTAACGAAATAAACCCATATCCAACCTTAACAACAAGTTCAAAACTTAAGTACAGCAATCATTTACGTGATATTTGGCCCCAATTATTCACATTTAAATTTAGAGAGGACCTCCGTAGGTCCTTCTTAAATTTAGTGTGACATTTCTAATTTTAGAGAAAATATGACATTTAGAACGCGTTTCAGAATACCATTTAATCATCTAAATCTAAGTTGAATAACTTAGCAACGACAATTTTAAATTTAGAGATAGAGTGTCATTACAGAATACCAAATTGAATTTGACAACTCTATATCTAATTTTAGTTAGTTTTAGATATAAGTTGGCACGCCAGAATTGGGCCCACTGTAATACTAAAATTACAGTGTATGGAGAACACTGTTTTCGGAGAGCCTTCGAGAATGAGTTTAAAACTTACTGGACTTTTTTTCACCGGATGTCGAACGCACTCGTAGTTTAATGTAAGTAAACTGAAGGCAGCCTTTGTAAAAAAAGATTATTACGAACTTGTCGAAAGGCAACCCCCCGTCCCGCGCCACCTCTCTGCTTATGACACAACTCTTGTTACTATTGAAATAAGAACGGAAATGTCTTATTTTAAACGGGCAAGAATAGTGGCGCGGTGTATACTATGCGGGAATTCCCCGGACGTAGACTAGGAATCATTTCGGAGAGTAGGTACATATTAAGCGCCCAAATTTTGTTAACCGTGTATAAGCACGAGTTGCATTAATTTTAAACCAACTGAGAAAATGTTAAAAGCATTTCATTCGAGGATCTACAAAAAAGAAACTGCTGTCGGGCTAAATGATAGTGACAGTGATTAATAAGTGGTTGGTTAGTCAACTAGAAAGTGTATTTTCATTTCAATTTAAACAATATAAGTTTCTTGATATCTGCTGTAAAATTTACTGTATATTTTTTTACTTTTACTGTATTTTTGTCTCAAACACTGTATTTTTTTGCACCCAACACTGTAATATCAGTTTCCTCGTCTGGTAACACTGGGGCAATGCTAGTAGTTGGGAACACTGGTAATCGGTCCCTATCATGCTCTAAATGGAATGAAGAAGATAGATAGACTGACTGATGTCAATTTTACAAATAGCAAACTCCAGTTTCCACAAGTGCCGGCATGACAATGAAATTGTGATTTTGCATTGCATTCCATTGAAGCAGTTTTATTTTATAAAGTCCATTTAATCCTGAAGTAGGTATGGCTTCAAATGAAATATGTGTTGGGGACTATTTAATCATACATAAACAAAAGTACAAGAAGTTGCTGAAATTCAATAAGCCTAACCTAATTGTTGCTGTAGGACGTGACACAATAAACCTAGACGGAATAGAAGGATGCCCTTATTTTTCAGTATTCAAGATGATATCTAGCAGTGGAAAGAAAAACAGGGAGTATTCCTTAGAATTAACTCAAGAAGTTATCAACATCAAAGATGAAATAGATGTTAAGACATCAGGCAATGATAATAGGAACATATTTGATGATGGTCGGTCTCAAAAGCTATCAGCTGCAGAAATAGAGGAACTTAAAGTGGATTCTAGTAAAGCATCTGATATTGTTGAAACTTTGATTATAAACTCTAACACATTTCACAGTAAAACGGAATTTTCACAAGAAAAGTATCTTCGCAAAAAAGAAAAGAAATACTTTGAGTATATACAGATTATTCGTCCTAACTTGAGGATAGTTACGGAAGTTATGTATAAGTTGGAACCAGGAAAAATACAAGGTCTAAGAACAGATACACTATCCCAAATAATCACTATGGCAAATGTACAGTCAGAAGGGAATCATCTTTTGTATGATTCTGGATCAAATGGGCTTTTAGCTGCAGCATTGTTAAGTGCTATTGGTCGACAGACCGGAGGAAAGCTGGTACACATGCATCCTGGTAACATGTCACAAAAACAAGCTTTATTGGCAATGAATTTTAAGGAAGAGCATTTGAACAGATGTATATCTGTCAATGTTTATTCAGCCCTAAGACAGTATTACCAAGGATGTGACACCAATGAACATTCAAGTAGTGATTCAATCACACTGAAAAGAAAAGCTGAAGACACTTTAGAAAGTAAGAGTAAACTGACTAAAACTGAAGACGCTGATAGTATAAATTCAAATATACAAAACCAAACTCTTGATACTAACAATATTAATTGTGATAGTAAGCTTGAGCCTAAAAAACCAAAATGGCATTTTGATAATATAGCTGCTTCCTTAGTCTTGAAAGAGAAAATGGATTCTTTGGTTATAGCTTGTAAAGAAGATCCAAAAAATATATTTAATGAGTTGGTAGAGTTTGTGAAACCAGGAAGGCCTTTTGTTATTTATTATAGTGTGGCTGAACCCCTACAGCAATTGTACATGCTATTAAAATCACAAAGTAATGTGGCAGCTTTGAAACTGACATGTAATTGGATGAGAAATTATCAGGTATTGCCTGATAGAACTCATCCAGAAGTAATGATGAATGGGGCTAGTGGATTTCTATTAACGGGCTATGTATTGAAGTAAATTAATTTGAAACTAATGATTGCTGTTTCATTTCATAATCAAACACACATTGTTTTTTATAAATTTATTTTATGCTTTAATTATTCAAATGCACATACCATATCTAAATGCATTATAAAACTTTATGATCATGGTGATTTACATATTTTTGACATTATGTTATGTATTGCATCTACTATAAAAATTTAGTTACTATCTTATAATTTGATTTCTTTAATATGAAAAATATGAACCCCATTGATTGAACCATTTACACATTGACTTTCGTTGTAATTGCAAATATAGTTTTTCCTACTACAATTTTTTTCAAAAGTTCACCTCCAAACAGCAGCTATAAAAGTAAAAATTACTAAATATGTTGTTGCTGCTTAATATATTGCATAAACAATGTAATTATTCGAGTTATCAGTTCTTTTTCCCATTATATAATATCTACTCACAATTTCAACTGTCACTGGATAACATTAATTAGTTAAAATAAGCCATCTAAGAGGAATGTAAATCAGTCTAAATAACAGCATTTGACAGTGTTTTAAGTGTTTCATCATATGAGCTCATTACTTACACAGGAGATTAAATGATTATATAATAAAAAGTGTTTTAACTTTCTACTGGATTGAATGCATTCAATTATGCTTTTTTAACCCATGGATTGAGCACATATGATAAAATCATCTGGTAGATAAATACTTAAGTTACATGAGTCAACGTTATCACTAGTCAGCTGAAAAATAATTATTTGAGAGGAACATCAGTTTTTATAATCAGTAAGTAAGTATATGTATTGAATGATAACATGTGAGATAATTTTGGCACTTGGATAGTTCAGTGCATGGACCTAAAGATATCAATTCTCACCTCTTAACTAAATTAAATTGGATTATGTTTCAACATGATGAATGAAGTCCTTTTTGTAAAATAACATCTTTTTAGATTGTGGATTAATATCAAGCACCAACAAACTAGAATTAAAATATTTGGAATAAATTTTTAATTTATAATATGAAGCAGTTTTTGAATAAATTATGTCAATATGTGATATGATAGGAAATTATTGATATGGGTTAAATAAGAAGCAATAGCAGTGAATACATGCATAGCTTTAAAAGCAATTTATTCATATATTACAAAACTATAATAAGTTTCACTCTTTCTACAAATGTAAATATGAATTCATTAAAATAATTAAATAAGATATATTACTCATATATTACAGAAACATTTGTTAATAAATATTACAATATCTTTTAAACTTAAGATTTCAATCTAAATCGCTAACAAAAGAGAAATGTATTAGAGATCTTCCAAAATTATACAAGAGTTTATGGTGTAATTTAAATTGTACTTATTGATTGACAACTGATTAGGAAGTAAGCACGAAAATATACTTATGCAGTTGTGCAACCATATTCTATTTAGGCATTTTAGTGTTATTTTAACCTAACGAAGCAAGGCATAGACAAATAACGACGTCTTCAATTATAAACAAGAGAAGTTATTTGCTCAAAATTTTCAAATTTGAACAACTGTACTGAAAATGTATATGAATCATTAAATAGTAAATTTCATACACAATTTCAGTACCACTGTCCTTAATATTATGTTACATAAACTTTGGTATTGGTGTTCTATCGAAAGGCATTGTGTTGGCTATGATCAAAACAGCACTGAATTACAATATTAGCAAAACAAGCACAGTAAGTCCTAATCAAAATATAACATAGACATAGTTTGTATAGTGGTCTTGGATATATCATTAAATGTTAAATGCAATCAAATTGCTTTTTTTATATCAGCTTCGAACTCATGTGGAAGAACTTAAGATATCTGTCAACAAATAAAATACATTCGATAAGCAGTTCAAAATTAATTATTTGTTCTAGTAAGACTACATCTACACCACTAATCTAGTGTCATATGAGAACGACTTACTGTCACTGTTCACTAGATACGAACGCCACACAGTGAGTGAACCGTGGGTACATAAAGCGTTGCTTAGCGAAATTGGACCGTATCGCGTAAGCAATAATAGTTCATATGGGTATCAGTGGCGAGTGGCGGCTCGGCCGCTGGCGGCGGCGCGTCGTCAGGTGGGCGCGGACGCAGTCTCGCTGCGCACCTCGCTCAGCTATGACGAGTCCTCGTCGTACCATGAACGGAAGTCGCAGCTTTCGTCGTAGTCATCCTGACGACAAAAATGGAACTAGTAATACACACCCCGGCCAACTTCTTGAGCATCGACCATAGACGTTTTTGTATGTAAAGTGGCAATTTTACATACAGAAACGTCTACTGTGCAAGTTTGTCTGTGGTTATGGTTAAAAAGTTGGTCTATGGCCCCCGCGGACACTCGCTCCCAGTCCTGCGCGGGGAACTCCAGGTGAGTGGACAGGATCGCGTCGAGCAGCTTCTGAACTCATCAAATTGTAGACTTACCGTCATCCAAGCGTGATATAACATATCTTCGGCGGCGAAACGCAGCTCGGGCTGTGGACGCAACATGTTGGCGACGAGGTCAATGACCCCCGCGGACACCCGTTCCTGGTGCGGCGCGGGGAACTCCAGGCGGGCGGACGGGATCGCATCGAACAGCTTCTGACGAGGACTCATCACTTGTAGACTTACCGCCATCCAAGCGTGATCTAACACATCTTCGGCGGCGAAACGCAGCTCGGGCTGTGGACGCAACATGTTGGCGACGAGGTCAATGGCCCCCGCAGACACCCGTTCCCAGTGCGGCGCGGGGAACTCCAGGCGGGCGGACAGGATTGCGTCAAAAAGCTTCTCTTGATCGCCGTCCGGGGAAGAAAACGGCGGGAACCCGCAGAGCAGGATGTATAGGATCACGCCCGCAGCCCACACGTCAATCTACGCAGAACGACAAAAATACAAAGATATTTACTAACCCAAAGAAAAATTTAATGAAGTAGATGCACTGCTTTGGTAGTCTCTATACAATTTGATACATTTCCTTTCATCGGTGTAAGCAAAACATTTCGTAGTTTCTTCTTGAGCAAAACCACAGAGACATAAACTTGCGCAGTAGACATATTTGTATGTAAAATCAAACCAAAAACATAAATGTTAAAAAGGAGAGCAAAGTTCAATACAAAAATTATGCTTGGCTATGGGCTTCGCCGCAAAAAGAATGGAGACTAAATGAGTGCCAAGTTCTATGCAAAATCCAAATATGTATTTATAGGAACAATAACATAACTAAATAAATATATTAGACAGTATGAACAAGTATTAAACTCTATTTCTTTGCTTTATTGGAGACCTATAACAATTGCTGTTATTTAAAAATGTGAGATCTTAAAGTAGTAGTTAGCCAGTTTTCATTACATCAGTCATTTTTTAAGTTATTCAACCATATATATATATATATATATATATATACATACATACATATATTATTTCTGATAAAAACTGGCCAAATCGAATCTAACTTACTTTAAGTCCTCACATTTTTAAATAACAGCAGTCTAGATTGCCACTGCGCAGGCTTCCTTGTCTATGGTCGATGCTCAAGAAGTCTGCCCTTCCTTCATACCTTCAGGCCGTAGCCAGTCTCGAGCAGTATATTGAGCGCCACGCATGTGGGCGTGCCGTAGACGGCGTGCAGCGGCCTTCACACCTCCACGGCCAGCCAGCTTAAATAACATCAGTCTAGATTGCTACTGCGCAGGCTTCCTTGTCTAGGTCGATGCTCAAGAAGTTTGCCTGGGTGTATACCTTCAGGCCGTAGCCAGTCTCGAGCAGTATCTCGGGCGCCACGTATGTGGGCGTGCCGCAGACGGCGTGCAGTGGCCTCCACGCCTTAACAGCCAGCTTAAATAACAGCAGTCTAGATTGCTACTGCGCAGGCTTCCTTGTCTATGGTCGATGCTCAAGAAGTCTGCCTGAGTGTATACCTTCAGGCCGTAGCCAGTCCCGAGCAGTATCTCGGGCGCCACGTATGTGGGCGTGCCGCAGACGGCGTGCAGCGGCCTCCACACCTCAACAGCCAGCTTAAATAACAGCAGTCTAGATTGCTACTGCGCAGGCTTCCTTGTCTATGGTCGATGCTCAAGAAGTTTGCCTGGGTTTATACCTTCAGGCCGTAGCCAGTCTCGAGCAGTATCTCGGGCGCCACGTAAGTAGGGGTACCGCAGACGGCGTGCAGCGGCCTCCACACCTCCACGGCCAGCCCGAAGTCAGCCAGCTTCAGGCCGCGGATGCTGCCGTCCGGACCCACTTCCACCTACAGATAATGCTCTTATGACACCACTATTACAAAATAGCCAGGACGGCACCCACTATCCTCATAGATAACCTAAACATTCTTGGCCTTTGAGGAAAGACTAAAAACTGTGTCGCAACTGGATGGTGTAGGAAGTCAGGGCGATGTCAGGGTATTTAATATCGTTGGATGGCCCACCTAGTAAGGATTGGTGGGTGCCAACAACTGCAGATTCATCCGGAACCAATCAGTTGCTCAACTTCTATCATTGCAGATCGAGTGCACTAATCACTACGCCGACGAGATGATTTTCTACCTTCAACAATAAGTGCATAAATATTTCTCATTCTGATGTTCGAGTATGCGAAAACAAAGTTAAATTACCATTTTATTTTTTGGGCATTTAATGCTAGATGTTACATGTAAAGAAAGCTTTACTAGAAAAGTGGCCCTCGTGGAATGTTTTCATGCAAAATTTTCTCTAGATTTAATTACTATTTTAGTTTAGGCAAGATTTGGTCCTTCGAGTTTTTAGTTTATTACTGGTTTCTATCATTCTGATGATAATGATATGAATATTAATAGCAAAAGCTGTATTCTAACGGAAACAATGTAAGAGTTATATAATGTAAAGTAGTCAGATCAGGTGATAATGAATCGACTCGATTGTTATTCTCTCTTACCAATAAGTTTTCAGGTTTGATGTCACGATGCACTATAGAAAGCGAGTGTAGGTATGCGATAGCTGATGTTAGGTGGCCAATTAGCAAACGCGCTTGTGGCTCAGAGAATTTGCAAGCAGCCGCAATGCTATCGAATAAGTCGCCACCTAAAAATAATATAAGGACAGTTAAATCACGCTGGCAACCGTTAAGAATTTCATCGGTGCTGGATTTCAAATATTCTAAGTTACAGAATTAACTATCCATCCAAACAAAGATAATGCGGAAATAACTCGGTCTCTTACGTTTTCATGTTAAACCACTGAACCATACTGAAGAAGAATACTTAGGCTGCTTTTTTCGCGGAATTAATTTCCCATATAAAATATTTTCAGACGAAGTTGCGGTAGACTTTTAAAAAAAATACTTCTAATTACTGATACAGATTTTTTAAAGTGAGTTTACCTTATAACTGAAATAAGTTTAATTTTTGGATTTAATAAAAACGCTTTTTTGAATTAGCTCTTCATGTTTTGACCAATATAATTCTGCCAGTATTACAAGTTGATTTCATAAAAATAAACAAATATGTAAACGTTGGCAATGTGGTTACATTCATGGTTCATTTAAAATTCATATTATTAGCCTAACAAAACACATACAATTACGGTTGCATCATATGAGTAGAACGTAGGAAATGCGTGATTATTAGATAAGTGTTAAAAGTAGGTTATGATAATGTATGTATGACTAGTATGGTTTACTGGGTATTGGTTACTTATGACATTTATAAATGTATTGCAATATTTGTACAGTTCTAATTGCTTAAGACGTCAAATGAATTGAAAAAAGAAATGAACAGTGCATTATCGTTGTTGAAAGTATTGCATTATTCATGTCATGTATTCTTCACAGTTGGTCGGCATCATCAACGCGCTCCGTTACAACGGAAATCAATATCGAGTAATTATTTTTAACTAGCCCGTGACTTCGTACGCGTGGACCCAACTTCTTAATAATATTCGTGCCAAATTTGAAGTAAATCCATGCAGTACTTTTTGAGTTTATCCCGGACATACATACAGACAAACACAAAATTTTTATCGTACAGTATCGATTGTAGCTCACACCCCAAGTATTCTTTTAAAAAATATTCAATGTACAGTTTAGACTTTCCTACTATTTTATTATATGTATTCATGTTAATCTCAACATGATTTAGTTTATAATTTCACCCTCAATTACTAGTTCTGAACATAACACAATTACTACTAATACGGATGTAATAATATTTATGTTGATAAATTAATAGCAATAATTTGGTAACACAATATCGTATATTTAATACTAGAAGGAAGCCCGTAAAGGATCCGAAATGTCGAAATGATATAATAATTCTGTAAATTGTTCATAGCCGTTTAAAAAGTCTTTTATTAAATGACTATCAAAAAAAATTTTTGGAATTGGAACAAAATAATTATATTAATTTTTTAAGCATGTAACTGCTTGATGTTTAAATCTAAAGAAAATATAACTAGCTATATATATATATATAATATAATATATAAAAATCTCGTGTCGCGGTGTTTGTGGTTAAACTCCTCCGGAACGGCTCGACCGATTTTCATGAAATTTTATATGCATATTCAGTAGGTCTGAGATTCGGATGTAATCTATTTTTCATCCCCCTAAATGTTAAGGGTAATCCACCCCTAAATTTTTTTTAATTTTAGATATTTTTTTTATTTTTTTATGATACATACAAAAATTAATACATCCATAAATTTTCACCCTTCAACCACCAACCCTTATTTTTTTATGGCGGTACGAAGTTCGCTGGGTCAGCTAGTATATATATATATTAGTCTGCCTGGCGTTGTGTCAAACGCTACAAACTATCAAGATTGAACGCAATCAAAGTGTAATTGTATCTAAGAAATGTTGAAACTTTCTCGTAAATGATGGTAAAACAAACCAATAATAAATTAATTACATACCGCTAACCAACTCCATGATGAGGAACAGCCACTCGGGACTGTCCTGTTCTTCGATTAATGATACGATGCGCGGATGACACAGCTTTCTCATCACTCGGACCTGTTGGATAAACGAAAGTTGACAAATAGACTGAATTAAACAAAAATAAAATAGTTTATTATATGAGGAGCTGGCGAACAAAACGGTATAATGACGCGTCTGGTGAAACTACTTTTTTTTAGTCTGGAGGTTTCGGGCCTGTTAAGCGCGAAAATAAGTCTGCAGTGTGTGAACATGCATTAGGGGGACCAAACCATTACATTAGATTTGATAAACCACAGATCGTTGCAACTGAGCAGTGATTCATTTCTAGAATGATACGCGAGGCTATTGAGATTAAAAAATATCCAAATTTCAATAGGGAAGATGGTTGGTATATACCACCAGCTTGGGAACCCATTATACAGGAGATAAAATCCCAACCCCAAGCACACACTGCAAGACCAACAGATACTATTAGTTCTTTTTGTTTGCATAATTTAACATAAGAAGGAGTTAGAAAGCCTCTCTTGAGTTTGTTTCGCCGGTTTCTTCTCAGAAAGGTCTCCCAATTTTGGAACCGGTGGTAGTTTACGGTAGTTAGGGTCAAATAAATAAACTCAATATTACAAAAAAGAATTTTAAATAAAGTACTTTATTAACTAAATTAAGTAATAAATTCATACATAGACAATAAAACTTTAAAAATTGAACAATGAAATAACCAAATGCTCAATAAAAGTCTATCGAAGGTAGCTCGACAAATTAAATAAAAACAAATATTATTATTATCATCACATTTTATTTACAATATATAGTTGGTAGGTATGTTATTGTTTCACCTACCTCTGCTTCGACGTAGTGTTCTTTGCCTTTACATTTCGCCTTATCAATAACTTTAAGCGCATATTCTTTGCCCGTAGATTTGTCTTTGCATATCCGGACAACAGCGAAATTGCCGTCACCTGTGAGAAATATCAAGATCTCAACTTGTTGGTTACAATTAAAGTAAAAGTTTTGAGTAATTATTATAAATATTACAAGAACATATTAGCATTCAAGCTGTTTGTTTGCACAGTTGGGTTACCAACGTCAGTTCTCAACATGATCAATGCATATTTTTGATTTATTTTTTTGCATCCAATAACTGTCTTAATATAACGTAGTTAAGAGCCCTTTCACATTTATTGCAATAAATCGCAATTTTTGATCGCCTTGTTTGTCCCCTTAGAAAAGATTTTGACTACTTCCAATAGAAGTAAACAGTAGATTTATTCTTCCTATTGAATATTAATGTAGAATATTTGCAAATACTATTTTCATTTTTTTGTACTGATCGTTCTACCGCAGCTAGTTTACGGAAAAAACGATAATATGCACAACTTTAAACACCTTAATCTCACATTAATGTTCAATAAATTAGATCAAATTAATTACTACGACATCAGAAATATGTTTTTGTTGCAACGTAATGTATTAGAATCTTGATTTTATATCTCATTAATTATTAAAAAAACATCTAACCTCCGTGAGTTTCCTCAAAAAATAACGCAGGTTTACCTCGTATTTTGATATTGAATTAAATAGAATTACTATCAAAAACTTTCATAAAACTAATCTACAATCATTGAACTACTGAAATATGTATATATTTTTATAATAAGTTCATTAATTATTATTTTATAAGACTCTGAACATCACCCGAAAAATGCAATATATACTAGTGCGAACTAGGCGCCGTTCAGTACGGCGCCAGCGCCTTTGGAGGTCGGACCTATGTCGCTTTGTAGCGCACGCGTCCCGAGCGATGCTACGAGTGCATTCATCGTAAAACTGGCTACAAAACTCCTTTATAAAACCTTTAAAATGCCATTAATTGATAAAAATCATGTTATGAAAGTTATTTATCATTAAATTTCCTACAAGTTAGGCATAAATCTTTTTTTTATTAAATAAATACTTTTAAAGTGAGTCGTTAACGTAGCAATAACGCAGTATATTAGAGTTTTGTATACGTGCAATTGATTCTCATCACTAATATTATTTATAATATTTATATTTATTTTTCCTTTTTTTTATTACATTTTTTTACAATTAATTGATAACAATCCAACACAAATCATCATCAGCTTCAATTTGTATGAAAGTAAGTGAATTTTTCGGATACTTCTGTAACTTCAATTCAATGCCCGTTTCTGCGCACATTAACTACAACTAACTTCAAAAGTATTTATTTAATAAAAAAAAAATATACAAAACTTGTAGGGAATTTAATCACAAATAACTCGTATACGACGTTTTTTATCAATTAATGACATTTTTAAGGTTTTATAAAGGAAAAACTACAAACATGTTTAAATAAACAACAACAATTGAAAAATGGTAAGAGTTACAATAAAAAGTTTTAGAGAAAGAAGTTAGAGTTAAAGTACATATTGGCCCAACATAATAATATATTAAGAATAGAAATTGACAGTTCTATTTATTTTAGATGGAAACAAAATTTTAATGACAACCCCGAAAATACTGAAACTATACCGACCATAAGTTCAATGGATTCGATTGCAACGGAAACTGTAAGTTTTTCATGTTGTTATTGGAAGTAGACAATGAAAAGAGAAATTGAAATTATATTAATAAATTTAATTATATAGGAAAAAAATGCTGTTGGATTGGAAATCGAAGCCGAGGAACAAAGGGAAGCGTCAAACTCACACGTAAATATTTTATTTGTTTTATACTTACTTAATGGGTATTTCACTACTACAGTAGGTACATAGTTTACAATGTTAGCAGTTTGGTTTTTGTTTTAAACTTTAACTAATGGGATGCATTTCTAGAGCAAAAAAAGTTTATTTTTAATATTTTATATTTACAGTTTTGCTGAGATATTTGATTATTACCAAACATCAATCATCATAAAGAAAATCTCGAAAAAAGGATTTCATTCAGCGATAACAGTGAACAAACTTTTCATTTAATTACTGAGCGAATTACATAAAATTGAACAAACAGAAGTTATGCAAATCATAGATGTAAAGTTACAATAATTAGTAATAATCATAATTAATTTTTATTGTCATTTCCAAAACACAACCAATGAGTACTTTAAATATATTATTTATTTTCTCACAATTGTGAAAAAACTTAATCCTTGTATCCTTTGCTCCACTCAGAATTCCTATCTAGAATCGTTCGTTGCTACAGTAGGGATCCATCTTAGCACTTCAAATTAACTTTATTTTATATTTGCATTTATTGTATAGTCCATAATTGCATATTAAAGTATCAATTTGGTAAAGCGCGCTATACTGAACATCGCCGCGTCGATGTCTCGCTCGTGCGACTCGGAGACGCTCGCGGCCGAATAATTTTGTAAAAGGGCTCTTAAACATTATTTATAAATTAATATATAATATGCAGAGTATTATTAAAAAATAGAATTGGGTTTCAGATTTCCATTTAGTTAATATGAATTTGCCCACCCTTATTTTAGAGTAGTGATTTACTGATAGCTGAAAACCTGGGTCAGGTTGTATGATTGATATGATTTGTACATATTTGTACATTAATCATGGCTGTATTTCTATATGTTATCCTAATCTCTTATCTATTAGACAAGTCCGTCCGTCCGTCCGTCTGTCTGTGGTGCTGTTGATAGATAAAGAGAATGTTTAAGTTATAAGTTAAGAATAGTCTGATAAGACTACAAACCGGATTTGAGTAACGTAGCACTTCCGGTTTTCGAGAAATCACAAATTTCAAACGAAACCACACAAAATCTCCGAAGTTCTCAATTAATTAAATACATTTTTTTTTAATTGGTGAACATTAGGTTCACTGGTTTGGTAGTATCATATAACAGAAGAGTTGCAATGCTTACTTTGGGGGTAGGCAATAGGGAAGATGATAGGGTAACTAAAAACGAAATTAAATAAAAAATAATGGTCGCTTATTTTTTTTTGTCAATCAACCAAAATAATCCAAAGATAAAACGCGTCAATGTTGAGAGTGGGGGCTTGTGACGTCACTTCTAAGTAAAAATTGTACCAAGACTTGACGTCATGCAACATTGCAAAACAATATACCTCTGTAATGTTGTGATTATGTGAATAGAGAATAAATATGCGTCCAATACTTTTTGATAATCTACCTGATAGAGTAGGTAGGCAAAAAAAAGTTATCGTCATCCGTATTGCTGTCGGTATTATAAAATATTTATTATCTGATTTACAGTGTGACCAAGATCTTGTTGCGTGTGGCTGAATTCGAACCAATTTTAGGAATGTAAAATAATCCTCTTACATACTCTTTCTAAGATTTTGCATATTATGACGATCCCTTTAGTGCGCAGATTTCACATAATTTGTAATCCTCATTTCACCAATTATTAGCCAATAGCGCCCTCCTGGTAATGTCATAAAAGTGTAGACAAATGCAGATGCAGTAGACAAAAAAAAGTTAGTCGTCATCAGTATTAAAAATTTTATTATCTGATTTACAGTGTGAACAAGATCTTGGTCGCACTGTAAATGATGCCTATTAGTCTCACCAATGATTTTTCCGACGCTGTACTTGAGCCGCAGCGGCTGGGGTAGCAGCGGCGCCGCGTCGGGGTCGCCGGAGTCGCCAGCGGCGCCGGTGCCCGCCTCGCTTACCGTCCGCGCCGCACCGCCCGCTTTCACTGGCATGCGGGGCTTGGGGCCAGTCCTGCTCAACCGCACCACGGGAGCTGATATTAATGTTCAACTAGGGGTCGCCCGCGACTTCGTACGCGTGGAGTTAGTTGGAAATAAAAGGTTCACTGCTCGTTCCCCGTAGGTGATAGCGTGATAATATGTAGCGTATATGTTGAATCGACTTCTGAAGAATACTCGTGCCAAGTTTGAAGTAAATCCATGCAGTACTTTTTGAGTTTATCCCGGACATACATACATACATACAAACAGAGAAAAATTCTATTTTGTGGTTGGTGGTTATTCAGCAACGATATTAAATAACCTAGAAACATCACGTGTGATCAAAATGTGTCCCGATCAAAAAGTGCTTGAACATCACTTAAGCACTTCTTGTTAACAGTAACGTGTGGACCGTTGAAAAGTCAAGTTGCCGCAGAGCAACATAAAAAATGCGGAAAAAATACTCATAGTATGTAAAGTGTCGTTTTATCGACAGCCAAAATCAATGTTTGTTAATTTAATGCATTTGAAGCAAATATTGCTCTAGTACTTGTTATAAACTGATTTAATAGAAAATATTAGTGATATTCAAATGCATGGTCTGTTATACAGCCGCGCTTAACAAACGCTTAACAGCGCATTCAGAATTGCGCGTAGGGTCAAAGAAATAAGATCTATATTCTTCCGCATATAGCAATAAGTCGTAACATTTTACAACTTGCCTTTTCGAACTGTCATACCTCTTTGACGCATGCGTTTTGATTAAGACCTTATACAGTATGCATTAAAGGTTCCTTTAATTTTTTAAATAATGCCTTATATTCTTTTTGACTACGCGATCATCTTACGGAGCGCCGTGGATCGTCCAATGTACCTTTTGGACAGGTTTCGGGCACGATTTTGTTCATGTTGGTGTATCTAGAGTATTTAATATCGTTGCCATTCAGGTATAATGTAATTTTAACATATACCTAGTGAATAAAACATGATACCATTTAAACGAACGCAACAGGTTCAATGGTTTTTAAAATAAATAACAGACTTAGTACGATTTGCACTCATATACGAAACCTTCCATACTATAATACAGTAAAAAAATATTTCATTATATTTTTATGCACTCGTTTAATTTTTAACTGTGTTTAGCTATTGATCCTCTTATTCTTGACTATGGGCATCTCTGCTACTCGACGAAAATTTGGTGACTTCTTTGCGATCGGCATAGTGAAATAAGTAGATCAAAGATAGATTTCTGGCTTAGGGCTTAAGACACACTTATCGACAGAGTGATTAGGTTTGTCTATAAGCGTTCAGTCACTCGCTCGATAGCCGGCTGCCATCAACCACAAAAAAGATATAACCAGGACCACATGCAACTAAGACTTCATCAGCAATATTGCGTAAGTCCGTTGATCAGTGTGTCTTGGCTTGACAGTAAAGCACTTACGTAGTCGTTATCCCCATTGGTATAAGAAATAATACCTACCTTGAATTTCTCGTGATTGGAGTTTTTCTACATTGTAAAACTGCTTTGCTTTCTTCAAATTCCAACTCAAAATCTTCCTGATTGACCCTGAGAATATCAAGAGCAGAATGTTGAACATTATCATAACAAGTCAATAATGTATGTATGTATTCTAGAAAGACAAGTTGAATAATTGAGACTGACCTTTCGTTTCCATAAGCAAAGAACACATCTTCGTCATCAAAGAATTGATGTAGAGCTGTGACTGGGGTGCCTGTTTGAGTGAATACTTTCCGAACACACCCAGTGTCAAGTTTGATGCAGTCTGTGATGGCCACCAGAGCGTGCTCCAGGGTAGGACTGTTGCGTTTATTCAGCAATAGCCTACATACCTGAATATAGGAAATGAATGTTTTAAAATTATTTACTACCAAAGTTGGCACCATAAATGCATCAAAGAATTTTGAATTATAATGTTTATACTTTTAACTACTAGATACTTTATTAAATTTAGTTTGATAAGAACTTTAATTTCGAAATTTTGAACACATTAATATAGGTACCTATCAATCATGTTTTTAGGTACCTTTAATGAAGTAATTATTAAGTAATAGGGTATTTGACAAGTTTTAGAAAACGATCTCACGTTATTGATTAATGTTTATGGAGTCCGTAAAAAGTGGATATTCATCATTCTGTTGTGTATTTCAGTAAAATAACCAAATCAAAAACTCCAACTTCAAGTTGCCGCGAAAACGTTTCTCTGGATAATATGGTGTATTACTAGTGTGTGACGTCAAACGACCGTTATTAAAACGTCAAATGATACAATGTAATGTCACTTTAACCGGAAGTTTACTTGCGTGTAACGTCATTTTAGGCTCCGCCAATCCCAAGCGTTTTGGGTCACATGGCAATAGATAAGAAAACTTTAATTTTCTCATGGGTTTTTAGTAAAATTATAAATATTTTTTTTGTAAAAATAGTAAAAACCCCTGCCAATATTCATACTAAACACAGATGCTAACAATTGGCATTTTATTTTTAATACAGTCAAATACCCTATTCGTAGGTGCATATGTCTGTAGCTGTTTATTATTCATAATCATAAGGTCATAACTGATCATATGAAATAGAACACATAAATATCTTGTTTATTTGATTTTTTTCATTGTAATTATAGATTTCTCAATAATTGGTTTATACTTTCTTACACACAAGATCTTGTAGTTCATATTAAATTACTGATGCGATTATTAGCTCATATTACTACCGCATGTATGACTCATTAACCACAGCCAAGGTACTGTGAACCACAAATGAACCAAAAACATGGTATTGGATTATAGTCTTATTTACATCAACAATGAGAATTCTTTCCAGATATCATCAAAAGTTAAAACATGATGCTGTGTTACCTTGCGAGGTTTAACTCCATTCCTTATAATAGTAACTATTCGTGGCCTGACTGCACTGTCGCCTGCAGGGCTAACTCTCGCTGTCCCGTTGCCAGTAGTACTACTACCATTTGCCTAAAATGGAAAATTTCTTATATTATTTCATAATTGGTATAAACAAATTATTTGGACACAAATTGGTTATTGACGACCTCCGTGGCCGAGTGGTTTGTACGCCCGCCGGGTTTCATGGTTTTGCCGACTCGAGAGGTCCCGGGTTCGAATCCTGGTGGGGGCAGATGTTTGTGTGATGTGAGAGCATTTGTACTCCAGTCATGGATGTTTATTATGTATTTCTATATAAATATACTTATACTTGAACAGTATATGTATTCTATCCGTTACCCTAGCATCCCATAACACAAGCCTTACAGTGCTTACTTTGGGGCTAGGCTAATTGGTGTGAGTGTTGGAAATATTTATTATTGAGAAAAGATTATAAAATTAAGATACATATTTCTGAATTTCAATACTAAAATGTAATGTAAAAAATATCTTACACACACTAGATCACATGCAATGCAATTTATTTATTTAGAGAATACAACAATTTTGCTTTTCTCTGGCTTGAGACCGAAATGGATGAATAAAGTGTACTAGTCACTACTATAGGCAAGAATAATTTACTAATTATAAGTTTTTGTCTTTTTTTCATTAACAGTTTAGCAGGTCTAGTGGACAGTAAGACTTAAAACATATAAAATTCTTATAGTAATTTATAAGAAAGTACTTTCATGCATAACATGTATATAGATAAATTAGTTAAAGGGCTTATGGTCCCACCGGTTTCTTCTACCGGTAGGACCACACTATACAAGTGTCTTCCTGTGGTCCTACTGCACTAGGGTGATTTATATGGCATCAATAAAATATGTCTGTATTATGTAAATTATATTATTTAGATTAGTTAAGTAATGAAATGATATGTTCAAAATACTTGTATTGGTTTATTAAACACTGAAACAATAAATTAATTAGTAAATTATTAATGTTGGCTTCTGACTGCAAATCCATATTGTAAAATTATTAAAATATTTTTTTTGTTTATAATAACCATACACATTGTATAATAACATTCAACCATTTTTCTGTTAATGAAAATTACCTTGTTGTGGTCTATTTTGCATAAGTTCAAGAAAAATCTTAGATAAATACACTGACAATGTCAATTAGAAATAATATTAGTTAAATACCATGTTAATGGCCCTAGTGCAGTAGGACCGCCGATATATAGTGGTATACCATGGGCGCACCAATAAGACAAACTGATGGGATCACAGGCCCTTAACCATAAATTATCTTTCCACATACAAGATTTACTAATATACCTGCAAATATCGGGACAATCTGTTGTTAGCTCGTGCTGGAGAAGGGCTGGCACTATCACTCAGTGATTCTGGTCCACTAAGTCTAAATGATTGGGGCGTGACTGCACTGGCTTCATAATCTAATTTTTTAAATGGCTCACCAAAGCCACTGCAAACATATGACTGTCCGTCTTCAAGATCATCTAATTTGCCTATCTAAAAAATTTTTAGTTTTAAATATTTGTAAACAATACAAATATAAGAAATGTTTTGCTATAGGGACTTACTTTTCTACCCTCCAGTGAGTAAATTGTCCGCACTCCACTAGGTAAAGTTACATTGTCAACTAATACCCTCGTCAAATCTGCTGTTAAACTATCAAATGATCTGTAATAATAAAAACAGACTGATGAGAATCAGCCAGCAACTATAGTAGGATTCTTATCTTCTTTAATTTTTAACAGGTGCAGTGTTGTTAAGTTCTTAAGATAACAGTTAGTGAAAATATGCAACAAATATTTTAACGTCAACTCTCAGAGTCTGCTAATTGAGTTATGTTAATTGGGAAATAATTAGGTACAACTCATTATCACTTGTAATGATATAACAAATTATTGTTATATTATTACTAGAACATTATTTAAGTATATGGCTATAAGCAGATATTTGACAAATATAGAATAAATAAGGGATGTAAATAGGATAAGTAGATATTTGTATGAGGCATTATTTCTTTACTCAGTAGTATATGTAGCAGTAATGAAGCAATTCATAGAAAGTATTGAGAATGTTACTTGAAGTCAAAACAATTTAATAGTGTGGCATGAATGAACACAGCTGTATAGATAGGTATCAATATAAAATTAGTGAAAGTTACAAATTATTTTTATCAGATAAGATGTACAATAAGTTACTGGGTTCTAGGTATTACCTGTATCGTTCTGGTAAGACTGGAATTATGACCCCTGAATAAAATTTATCACCATTTCGAAAAAACCTAACTCGTTTCGCTTTCCGCGCTGGTGTTCGTACCATTACGTTACGTCTGTTCGTCCTACTTTTCATGATTTCCATATCATTGAAATCTTTTTCGAGCTCACATACTGAGCTCGATCGGCTGCCACTTCGGCTTAAATTATTCTCCATCCTAAAAAATAAGAAGAGTAACAGTTACGATATGGTAAACGATATAAAATTATGTTTAAAATGATTAGTCAACCCTCACCTGAATTTTCTGCGGCTTTTCAAAAATAACACTATCGTGGTTTGACAATACAAATCATTACTTTTATTAATTATATTAAGCCATTATTCCTTCACGGAATTTAAGAAATTAAAATAATTCTGAAAAAATCATGAATCACACAGTAATCAGCTAAGATTTAAGGAACGGAATGAAATGAACGGGACGGAGAACAAACACACGAATGAATGAAATGCATCACAGATTAAGCCCGTCACAGACGTAGCTATAATATATATTAATATAGATCATAGCAAGACATATTACAACATATTTTCAATATAAATTTTCGAGTGACTGCACACGCAGCTATAATATATATTTCTATGACGTCACCAAAATATGTCGACAGATATATTTTGGCATATTACTGTATATTTTGGTATATTAATATATATTTTGATATATTAATATATATTTTGATATATTTTTATGGTTCGGTATGTTCCATTTTTCACCGAACGCCTGCCAAAATATATATTATAGCACCCGTCTGTGGTAGTTTGTTTAATAAAATATCTCGATATATGAATATATATTATAGCTACGTCTGTAACGGGATATATTTTGGCATATTAGTATATATTTTTAATACGGAATGTTCAACTTTTCACTGAACGCCTGCCCGATCTCCGGCTCAAGCCAATCACAGACATAGCTATAATATATATTAATATGAATCATAGCAAAACATATTACAACATATTTTCAATATAAATTTTCGAGTGACCGCACACGCAGCTATAATATATATTTCTATGACGTCACCATAATATGTCGACAGATATATTTTAGCATATTAGGGTATATTTTGCCATATTAATATATATTTTGATATATTTTTATGATACGCGATGTTCCATTTTTCACCGAACGCCTGCCAAAATATATATTATAGTACAGCTCCCGTCTGCGGTAGTTTGTTTAATTTAATATCTCGATATATTAATATATATTATAGCTACGTCTGTGACGGGATATATTTTGGCATATTAGTATATATTTTTAATACGAAATGTTCAACTTTTCTCTTAACGCAGGCGTTAAGAGAAAAGTTGAACGTATAATATATATTTCGATATATCGGGCAGGCCCGATCTCCGGCTCAAGTGCGCACGAGCATTTCTCCCCCACCCTCCCTCTCCTAAAATACTGTGCAAATTTATTGGATGACAAAACACGATACAAATTAAATTCACCACAAGTTTTCTTTTGTTTTATGTGCGACTCTACCCAGATGGTTATATTTTTCGTTCTGACAATGCAACATGCATATCAAATTCAGCATCGGAATCATCCTCTGAGGAAGTTTCAATTAAATCTAAAAGTAGTGCTCTTGTCGAATTCATTTCATTCATTCATTGTAAGATTGATTATAACGTTATTTCAAAATTAAAACAACCTGTGCTAGAAAATAAGCTTTAAAACCGTGCGCTTGCAAAAACGACCGCAGACCGAGTGAGGGCAAAATATATATTATAGTATAGCTCCCGTCTGTGGTAGTTAGCTATAATATAATATATATTTCGATATATTAATATAAATTATAGCTACGTCTGTGACGGGCTTTAGTATAGAGATCCCATTTCAGAGGATGCCTTCATGGACGTAATCGGTAATTCTCACGATCTCGTATAATTTCCGTATTTTTGTCCGTCCAAATTTGCGCTTTTGGCACTTCAATTAACTATTTGGTTTTGTATTTATGAAGTGATATACTTTTGGGCGTGACGAAAATTAGATTCGCAGTGACGGTTTTTAAACAATAGATCAATTAATTATGAATTTCTGTTTAATTAATAAGACATAGAAATTATCAACATACAAAATCATTGTTCAGATATAAATAGCCGAAAGAAAAACTAATCAGTTGTGAGAAATAATAAAAAAAGTGGCCACGTGCGAGTCGGATGAAAATTCCGTAACAGCAAGTAACATACTATAAAAGTTCTTGTAGTTCGTTGTAACTTTGATCGATGTTTTAATTAGCATATTAGCTAGCTAGCGTACCCACGATCAATATACGGTTTTTCGTTATGCCATTAAATAGTGCGTAAATAGTGCCAAATTAGTGTAAAAATAATAAAAATAGTGCCTCTTTAATTTAAGAAATAAATACCATTTTTACTGTGTACGCTACCATGACGTCAAGCTAGGGTACCCATGGCCGACCTCAAGAACGGCATATATTTAAGCAACGAAATTGACACACAAAAATAGTTCGCAAATAGTACCCGTGTCCGTTATGCTAGCGTACCCACGATCAATATACGGTTTTTCGTTATGCCATTAAATACTGCGTAAATAGTGCCAAATTAGTGTAAAAATAAAAAAAATAGTGCCTCTTTAATTTAAGAAATAAAGACCATTTACTGTGTACGCTACCATGACGTCAAGCTAGCGTACCCATGGCCGACCCCAAGAACGGCATATATTTAAGCAACGAAATTGACACACAAAAATAGTTCGCAAATAGTGCCCTGGCTTTACAAAATTTCATAATCAATACTCTTAAAGGACCAAAGATATTGAACTAAACATTCTTAGCTGGCGTCAACCTGGCGTACCCATAATAGTTCTCATAGAAAATGAACTTTTCTCGTTATCAATTCTATATGTATAAATAGTGCCTCTAACAGTAAAAGTATTTTAATGTTAATTCGCAGTAAAACAATATAAAAAAAGCAATTAAATTATTTTTATATATGAAGTACAGTCATGTACAGAAGTGATAATATTTTCGTAGTATAGTAGGTAAGTAAGGTACTTAGTAGGTAGGTAGGTAGGTAGGTTGAAATTCTTATATGAATTTATGATTGGTGTATACGAATGGATATATAATATCTTTTTATAAAAAGTACCTACTTATTTTAGTAATAATACATATATAGATAATCTCTTAGTGCATAAATTAATTTTGTGTGTAACTGTACTACAATACATTTGTTTCTAGAATTTAACACCCTCTTTATGTATTGTTGTGATGCGGATTCACATAAAATACTTTTACTGTTAGAGGCACTATTTGACACACTATTTATACATATAGAATTGATAACGAGAAAAGTTCATTTTCTATGAGAACTATTATGGGTACGCCAGGTTGCCGCCAGCTAAGAATGTTTAGTTCAATATCTTTGGTCCTTTAAGAGTATTGATTATGAAATTTTGTAAAGCCAGGGTACTATTTGCGAACTATTTTTGTGTGTCAATTTCGTTGCTTAAATATATGCCGTTCTTGGGGTCGGCTATGGGTACGCTAGCTTGACGTCATGGTAGCGTACACAGTAAAAATGGTATTTATTTCTTAAATTAAAGAGGCACTATTTTTATTATTTTTACACTAATTTGGCACTATTTAATGGCATAACGAAAAACCGTATATTGATCGTGGGTACGCTAGCATCACGGACACCAAAAATTCAGGCACAATCAAATAAAATTAATCAAGCAAACGGTAATAATAATTAGAGAAATCGTAAACCATGCAAATGGAAATTACTTTCTTTTGTTGTCTAGTGCGAAATACTAGATATAAGCACTACTAATATATTCCTAATTTGCGATATAAATATATATAATTTACTTAGAAAATTTCTTAACCGTGAACGACAGACATTGAGTAAAATAAAAAAAAGTTTTTATTTTTTGTTATACCTAAATGTATACACTTGTTAAATAATAATCTTCTTTCAAAATATTTACAGTAAAATCATAGCTTGTTTTGGAATTACTAAAGATAGAAAGTGTGATTCTGGTTACTGGACAGCTAATTTAAATTAGAAAAACTACTAATTTTAACTTTTACCAAAATGATGTGTATATAATTACATATTTTATTAAATAAGTGCTAGAACTAATCCCAAAAAAATATTGTCAACCCCAAAATAATACAGACTTTTAGCAGATAATTGTATGGATGTTCAAAAATCAGGTCAACTGAGAATGACCATAATAGATCGGGATATGTGAAGGACTTAGAACGGAGGCCTTTTACACTTCCCTGACTGTTATAGACGGACGCAGGACCACACAGACTATTGGATGCCAGGACCAGTGGCGGTCTTAGGGGGTGGCGAACAGGGCAATCGCCCGGGGCCTCGCTCCTACAGGGGCCTCGCGCAACAACCCAAGCAAATTTTAAAAATATAAAAAAAAAAACTATTTTTTCAATGACACAAGATCGGCTTTCAGCCCTCGCTATTCTTTCAATCGAAAATGACGTAGCTTATTCGTTAGATTATTGTGCTTTAATTAAAGATTTTAGTCTTAGGAAAAGCCGCAAACATCAATTTTAAAATTTATCATCTCTGTATTTGTTAATTTTGTGAATCTTTCAATGTAAAATATTTTAAAATTCAAAGGACATTGTTCTGCGTCCATACATAGTTCGCCTAAGAACCAACAATCATGAAATATTATTTTCTAGGTCATCATCGAAATGCGAAATCGCAAGTAAATGACTGTAAAAACAAAGATTATTCTGAGAGAGGACACTTCTGAGAACTTAAATTAGGAAAACTATATTTTTTTTTGAGGTTATGTTTAATATTCAATGAAACATAGGTCAACTTATTTACCAAGATTTTTAATAAAGATTTTTCATTTCATTTCAACCTATGAACTAAGTATGAACTCAGTATGAAGTGAATTAATATTATAACTAATTCATTTTATTCGGTGCGATTTTAAAGAATAACTATTAGGAAAAACTTGGTTAGGTAGGAATCTTGAATAAAATAAAAACTGTAATTTTGCTTTTTATTATTTATTGGCAATTTTTCACATAATTGTATCATATTATTTATTGTATTTATTTGTTTAACACATGTATATTGTGTAAATATGCAGCGTGATTGTGTATAAGGTGCTCTTGAATAATTTGGCAGTATGATCCTCTCAGGATGTTGTAGCACAGGTTCACTAGCACTTGGTAAAAAGGTCTCTGCACTTTGGTAACATCGATGGCATATTAGATAGCCGAAATAGTAATAGTTAAATTAAAGGAAAAACAATCGCAAATAAACACACACAACAGGTAATCCGAAACGAGAATTTTCCGTATATAAAAAGTACACTTTGACGAGAATGCACGAATGAATGCCACAGATTACTACGAATGCAAAGTACCTGCATCACAACCACTGAGTATCGAGTTTATGCCGGCTCTTCACTTGACAGCAGTTTGTCCTTGTCATGCTTAATAAGGAATGAAAAGGACAGACTGATGTCATGTTTTTAAATAGCAAATACGAATAGCCAAGTGAAGTGCCGGCATTAGGAATAAAGAGTGTTATGTTTGCAGCGCTGTCATAGATTATACACATGAAATGGTATTTATTGTCTCAGATTATTTATTAACTTTTTAATTTAGCTTACTTAACTGGAAGTGTCCGTCACAATCTAAATACTGATAATTATCGCAAAAAATATACTAAGAATTATCATAAATGCCAAATTGGTGTTGGTTCTTAGGCCAATTTTACCATTGTCCTTTGATTTATTTGTATAATTTAAGCATTTTTCCTTAAACATGAAAAATACCTAAACCAAACAACCAGACCTACTTTCGCATCACATACTTTTCACGAAGGACAAAGGGCCTCGCAAAGACCTGCCGCCCGGAGCCTCGCAATCGGTAAGGCCGCCTCTGGCCAGGACCATCGCTGGGTCTTTTTCTAGTAGGAAAATTTTTGATGGAAATAGCAAAGCAAAAATGTGTCATCAGCTTACAATTTTATCTAAATTATCATTAAATAATAAATGAAATTATTTAAGTTTAAGTACGCTAAAGCTAAAATGGTTTGTAATCTGTCTTGATGAATGTAGTTTTTGTATTTTAATTGTTCCACAGATGGTGTAGTCCGCTACATAACTTTTTTACCTCTGGTAACACGTTAAACAGGTGACGCATTTATCAATTTCGCTTTATGTCAAAAAAGTACAGACAAAGACTGTAATTAAATTTTGTAGTTTTGTTTAATTTGTATAAATTTTATCCGCAATGTCGTCCAGGAAAAAGGTTTTGTTGAAGGTAATTATACTCGGAGATAGTGGGGTTGGTAAAACATCGCTCATGAATCAGTTTGTCAACAAGAAATTTTCCAACCAGTACAAGGCAACAATAGGGGCAGATTTTCTCACGAAAGAGGTAATCGTGGATGATAGAATCGTCACAATGCAAATTTGGGATACTGCTGGCCAAGAACGTTTCCAATCGCTTGGAGTTGCGTTCTACCGCGGGGCGGATTGTTGCGTCTTAGTTTTTGACGTAACGGCCCCCAACACGTTCAAGTCCTTGGAGAGTTGGAGAGACGAATTCCTTATCCAGGCCTCACCGCGTGACCCTGAGAATTTTCCATTCGTGATATTAGGTAATAAAGTCGACCTAGAAAATCGTGCTGTTTCTGCTAAACGGGCACAGCAATGGTGTCAGAGCAAAAACGACATACCCTATTATGAAACCAGTGCCAAAGAGGCTGTGAATGTAGAGTTAGCATTCCAGACAATTGCTCGCAACGCACTTGCACAGGAGACAGAAGCAGAGTTGTACAATGATTTCCCTGACCACATTAAACTAAATGCTAATGATAACAGCCGTAATAAGGATGGAGACAACTGTGCCTGCTAGATTGCATGTATTATACCCCAGTGCTGGCAACATACTAGAGTCTTATCTTTTTTTAAATGTAGCATTATTTTGTAAGTAATGATTTCTTTTTATTAATATCATGTAAAAATGTATAGAAAAAAACACATGCATTGAGTGTATTGTTTGCTGTGCACATTTAAATGTTAAAAAAATGACTTGCACTTTAAAAATTCTGCTTCTAGCACTATAAAACTTAGGAAAGATGTTTCTTAAGAAAGTACAATTGCCAAATATGGAAAACTTTAAATAAAAAATTTTTTGGCTGTTAGAAACTATTTCAAATGACATGGTTGTAGGAATATAAATGTTGTATGTGAGAAAATATCTCAACATTTTTGTAACTCATAATGTGAACAACACTATTTACTTTTGTTTTATTCTAAAGAAGAAGATAGCATATTTCGTCAATTTGTTGCTGTTATCATCATATTATACGGAAAGTGTTGAATAATCCAAAGGTTTATATCCCTACTACCAAATACAGTGCACTGGCATTACATGTTAGTTAATGTGTTTGTTAAATTTTGAATGGGAGTAAAATATATACAAAATTTTATTTATCATGGTACCCTATGGTTATAATGTAGTGATAAATTATTTAATATAGGTAATATTACAGGATCTGGTTTCTACATAGTAATATATAAAAACTGCTGGCAAACATTACTTTTGTGGTATATTTAACTACCAAATTACTAACAATATTCCTCACTGATTGAAATATTTCTGTAGCACAGTGGTCAAAATTTGCACCTTGCAATTTTCCAAGATAGAATTTATTTTTATATGACTATTTTGTTTAAAAATAATTTGAAATTTAAAAATGTGATATTTTATTCAGTTATAGTTGATTCAGTTGACCTTATTGTTACACTATCAATACTTCTGTTTAGTAGTATTCAGTAATATAACTGAAATTGACTGCTGTGTTATTATTTCATAATCCCCATAAAGTATAATAATATTGTGATATGTTTATGGAGATGTTTATGTGAATGCATAAACTTTATTATACTTACCTTAATATGTTTTGTATATATTTGGATTTTAAAACATTAGATATAAGTAGATAATGGCAACAAAATCCCTTTTTGACTTTGTCATTGAGTGGTATGGGAAAAACAAAATTATACATACAATATTGAATTCATATTGTTATTAATCATAAACATGTAATTATGTGTAAGATATGACATCAGAAATGGGCAGCTTTTGAAAAGCAAATAAACAATTTGAGTGATTACCAGCCATACTCAGAAACATCAAATTCATTTAATACTTCATGAACTGCATTATCTTATTCTTTTGTTATCGCAAAGAAAGACATCAACTTAAACAAACTGCACTCACAGAAGTCAAGTCATTTTTATAACTTGACTTCTGTGAGTGCAGTCATAAGAAATATTTTGAAAAGCTATTATTGATGTTTTTCTGATTTTTACTAGTAATTCCGACAAACCAATATTGTATTATTTAAATTACTATCTTTATAATAAGTACACACTTGATGCCTTGCCACTCATTTAGTTTAAATCATTAGAGTCTGACTCATAATTTTGAATTCTCATTTTGTTATACTACATTGCATGCCTAAAATATATTACTATTATTATCCATTACAAATTGTAAGTAATAATAAGAACTAGCTATAAAGATAACAAAGTTTAATGTATGCTGTAATAATGGTTGCTTTTAATTTTATATCAATAAATAAAAACTTTAAAACTACTGTTACTTGATTTTAAATTAATTTCAGCAATTTCATTAATACTTTGTAGGTTTTGTTATTTAGTTATGTCATAAATTCTATAAATAATACATAATGAAAGTTTGAGTGTGTTTGTTACTTAACCACGCAAAAACATCTGAACGGATTTGCATGAAATTTTATACATGGACAGCTTATAACACGGAAAGAGAGATATGATACTTATTATCTTGGAAAAATGTTAGGTTCCTGTGGGATTTCCAAACAACACAGACGAAACAAGAAGAAGTTGGAAAGAATTACAAAAAAGAATTCTTATTCAAGCATAGTTTGTGCTAATGCTGTTTTTAGGTAACTTGAACTTTTTAGGTGGTAAAAATAATTCTTTTTTAAAATTAAAGAATTATTTTCATGTCAGATACTTCACCGCAATCGTTTTTATTTTGAAATTAAACAATAAATAGGAAAATAATATTTTCAACAATTTTTCACAAATTAGAAAAACAATATAAATCCCATTATACAAGTGCAGTTTACATTACGGACAAACATTTAAATCAGTTTTAAGGTATGAACAATAATGGTTAACTAATTAGAAACAACAACAAAAAAGTATAAAAAAATATTTTTTTAAGTATTAGTAATTAGCATTTTTATTTACGAAATAGCTACTATCCACAGCCTATCAATAGTTATTATTAATATTCAGTGGCGTATCCCCCGTATCCCTTATAGCCCAAGAGCTACTGAACCCTCCGAGTAACGGTCTGTCTGTAAGGCTAGAAATTCTATGGTGATGAGCCATAGCATGCTTAGTACGGTAAGCATTGTCTGGCACTCCTCAGCCCTGCACGTCATCAAGCCGTAAATTTTTGAAAGTATCAAAAAAATATTTAAAAAAAACTTGTTCCTGTAAGCTTGAAATTTTTATACATGGTGTCGATTCTAGCATGATTCTCTAAACCTAAACTTAAATTTGACAGCAGTATATCCTTGTCATTCTCTATACAGAATGAAAAGGAGAGACTGATGTTAAATTTAGTTTTAAGTTTAGAGAATCACGCCAGAATTGGTACCATGTAGTTTATTCATTTTTAAGTTTAAAAAGAAAATTGTAAGACGTTTACGATGAGTACAAGTACCTGCCAGACGAACCGGAAGGTGTGTAATATATACATAAAAATAAACTTTATTCTGTAAAGTTGAAATTTATATATGTGTTTGTTTAAGCGATTTAAAGTAAGTAGGTAGAATGCCAGGCGGTTCTGGCTAGCACAAGTCCTTGCCAGGCGAGGAGAAAGATGCTGCGGCTGTGCGAGTAAGAGTCGTAGTATGAAAACTTACGGTACATTATATTGTTTTAAACTTTCATGGTCACTAACATTATAGATATTAACGGGATTGTTACCATGTACCTTGTTTTTTATGAGTCTCCGATATTTCGGCACTGTTGCAAGCGCCATGATCACGGAGTAACTGAAGTAATTGCGGGTAGATGTTATTGGCAGACATATCGGTCTACCCTCTGACGTCGTCTTTTACTGCGTTCGATACTACCACTACCACTGGTCACATTCTCACTATTCACTCGCATTTGTTCCCGGCACACAATACTCACAGTATCAGATCGCGGAACAACACTTTTTTGATTTTTGCGGTTTTTACACATACGAGCCACTGGATTCCACACACTAGACAATTTTAACCCATCCTCACGATTGAAATTCTTGTGTTTGGTTATTTCAATCGCTTCCCTGACCAATCTTGGTATGTAGTGGCGTTCTGTAGAGATAATTTGTGGATTATGGAGCTCAATCCAGTGATTAGGACCCGAATCAATTAATTGTTGCTAACTTAACCCAAACACAAATTAAGACACCAGAAACACAAAGTAGACAGGCAACCACTATTTTTGCCATATCTAACATACTTAATAAGTACTCACTGAATACTGTCTTCACTCCTTTACAAAAAGTATCACAGATTCTACGGTCTCCCAAAGATAACTTCCCCTTGGAGAAACCTGGTGTATACAAGATCGACTGCAGCTGTGGTAGTTCTTATATTGGCCAAACGAAGCGGACAATAGCGTGCCGAATGAAAGAACACATTAAAGCAGTCAGAAATAATGATACGCAAAAATCAGCCATCGCGGAACATTTAATTGATTCGGGTCCTAATCACTGGATTGAGCTCCATAATCCACAAATTATCTCGACAGAACGCCACTACATACCAAGATTGGTCAGGGAAGCGATTGAAATAACCAAACACAAGAATTTCAATCGTGAGGATGGGTTAAAATTGTCTAGTGTGTGGAATCCAGTGGTTCGTATGTGTAAAAACCGCAAAAATCAAAAAAGTGTCGTTCCGCGATCTGATACTGTGAGTATTGTGTGCCGGGAACAAATGCGAGTGAATAGTGAGAATGTGACCAGTGGTAGTGGTAGTATCGAACGCAGTAAAAGACGACGTCAGAGGGTAGACCGATATGTCTGCCAATAACATCTACCCGCAATTACTTCAGTTACTCCGTGATCATGGCGCTTGCAACAGTGCCGAAATATCGGAGACTCATAAAAAACATGGTACATGGTAACAATCCCGTTAATATCTATTACGGTATATTATTCATGCAAATAAAATGATGTGAAAATAAAAGTTACGTTAAAATATTTTTTATTATTATAAGTCTTTAAATTAATTAATAAATCTTCATCATCATCACTTTCCTCATCATCATAATAGGAATCTTAGTTCCTGCTTTCATCATCTAAAAAGAAACAAAGTTTTAATACATTAAGAATAACATTACATCTCTGACCTTGCGCTCAATTATATAGAATTTCATATATTTTTATGAAATGTGTATTACCTTTAATGTGTTCTTCAGCGTCACTTGACTCATTCTCAGCAGTTTATTCTTTTAAGCGCATTTAAATAAAAGTGTGTTTATAAAAAGTTTTTTACTTTTAATTTATTTTTTACTTTTTAGTTACCGCTGGATATAATCGAGGACTTCAAAAACCTCATATTTTTGGAAAGTCCTTTCATTTGATACCCATATTTTTGGAAAGTATAAAAAACTTAGTCTGTCTGTCTGTAGTGTCATATTATTTGCATTTACTTTAACTAGGTAAAAGGTAGGTTTTATTATAACTTTATTTGCGATTAAAAGTAAATAGGTAGAATGACAGGCGTTCTGGCTAGCATAAGTATTTGCCTCGTGAGGGGAAAGATGCTATGGAAGTGTGAGTAAACGGCTCAACGTGAACTCGGTGGTGCGATTGAGACAGTTTACCTTACTGGAAAATAGGTCCTATACCTGAAAAACAAACCGTCGGAGGTAACAACGATTTATCTATATAAAATCTTACGCAGAATTTCACTGTTTTATATTGTGAAGTATTGTAATGATTTAAATATCAATTAAACATTAATTGTGCAGTTATTCTTGTGTACGTCAGTTGTGCCAACGATTATTCATATTTAAGTAAATAGTAAGTAAAATAGAATCTGCAAACGTTGTTTGTGTGACATGCAAACAAGATATTGATGACAAAACTGTAAAATTCACAACAAGTACTTCAGACAAAAGCAAATCAATATTAAAAATTAGAAGACAACATAATTTAAAATTCAATGTCATTTCTTTGCCAGAGGAAGTTCATGATAATACAGGTTATCTTGTGAAGTGTTACAAAAACTTTCTTGCTGTAATGAAAAAATATTGCCAGAACAAAACATCGACTTCATCCAATGTACCAGCATCATTGGCGGGTATATTTTTATGAACTTACATATTCTTTATTTTCATCTAAGTATCGAGTTGCATTTTTTCAAATCGGTGACTTCACAGAAACATGCACACTACTAAATATATATTAATTAACGGTAATTAATTTCAAATTATGAACAGTTTTAAGTTATGTAAGTTTTCATACTACGACTCTTACTCGCACTGCCGCAGCATCTTTCTCCTCGCCTGGCAAGGACTTGTGCTAGCCAGAACCGCCTGGCATTCTACCTACTTACTTTAAATCGCTTAAACAAACACATATATAAATTTCAACTTTGGGGCCGTTCAAGTATTAAGTACGTAAGCAGATTTATTACAATTATTTACCCCCTCTTTCCCCTCGTCAGCAAAAGTAAGCAAAGCTCTTACCCCTCCCCCCCATCATTACGTAAACATTGGTACCTATATACATTTTTCCTTTAATGTATTCTGTTTTTTTATTGATTCATGAGCTTTCATGAGCTTCTTGAACAGCAGTACTTAAAAAGGCTTAATCGATGATGCTGACGTAATCACCATCTCTACCCCCCACCCCCCCATGTCATCAAAAATAAGCAAAGCAAAAACCCCCCGGCCCCCCCAGTGCTTACGTAATACTTGAACAGCCCCTTTACAGAATAAAGTTTATTTTTATGTATAAATTACACACCTTCCGGTTCATCTGGCAGGTACTTGTGCTCATCGTAAACGTCTGACAATTTTCTTTTTAAACTTAAAAATGAATAAACTACATTGTATAAAAATTTCAAGCTTACAGGAACAAGTTTTTTTTAAATATTTTTTCACACTTTCAAAAATTTACGGCTTGATGACGTGCAGGGCTGAGGAGTGCCAGACGATGTTTACCGTACTAGGGATGCTCGATGAACATCGATGTTCGATGATCATCGATATTGAAAGCAAAAACATCGCTGTTTTAACATCTATATTGCTATACGAAAAATATCGTAACATCGATGATAACGGCATCTATCATCGATGTTAACTCACGGCCTCACGCACGACACGACCAATGCAACTTACGAAACAAAATATGTCTTATAAGAAGGCATCCACAAATCAAGTTTATTTTGAACGCGTATTCATTGAGGGCGCACCGGTCGTTCGTTCCTTTCATTCGTACGTTCTTCGTCGTCTCCTCGCTCGCCAGATCCAAGTGATCCAACAGAACAATTTAATTTGTGGAGCGAACATTATAAACTTGTAAATGTCAAAAACTCTACGCCTTCCTCTCATGATCACGAAATGCCTTCCGAGTTGAGCTACTTTTTGAAAAATCCAGTATCTGATCTTAAACAAGATCCTATCCAAGTTTGGAACAATGTCCTCGGTTCCACTTACCCGAAATTGAAAAAAATAGCGGTGAAATATTTGAGTACTATCGCGACATCAACGCCATCCGAAAGACTGTTTTCAAAAGCTGGCTCTACTCTTTATCAACAAAGAAATAGATTAAAAGGTTCTTCATTATCAAAATTACTCTTCCTTCAGTCAATTGATACAAAATATTGGAATATGTAATTATTTGATCTGTTTCTTAATAAATCCCGAACTTTTACAGTGTTTTATTTTTTTGTCAGTTATTATTGCATAAATCATCGATGGTATCCAACATCGATGTTCGGTTTTCGATAAATATCGAACATCGATGCCGGGCTTTCGATTATGACATCGATGGTTTTTCGAATATCGATCATCCCTATACCGTACTAAGCATGCTATGGCTCATCACCATAAGAATTTCTAGCCTTACAGACAGACCGTTACTCGGAGGGTTCAGTAGCTCTTGGGCTATACGCCACTGAATATTAATAATAACTATTGATAGGCTGTGGATAGTAGCTATTTCGTAAATAACAATACTAATTACTAATACTTAAAAAAATATATTTTTTATACTTTTTTTGTTGTTGTTTCTAATTAGTTAACCATTATTGTTCATACCTTAAAACTGATTTAAATGTTTGTCCGTAATGTAAACTGCACTTGTATAATGGGATTTATATTGTTTTTCTAATTTGTGAAAATTTGTTGAAAATATTATTGTCCTATTTATTGTTTAATTTCAGGACCAAGTTTTTTTTTAATATTTTTTTGACACTCAAAAATATACGGGTTGATGACGTGCAGGGCTGAGGAGTGCCCGACGATGCTTACCGTTTCCTTTGGTATACTTACTTTACTCTTTGCTTACCGTAGTAAGCATGCTATGGCTCATCACTAGGGATGCAAAGTCTTTTGAAATATCGATATTTATATCGAAGTCATTTTAACTCGATATTATCGATATATCGATATTTTTTCCTTTTTATTGACATTAGAATACGGGGTGACTGTGACACATTCATGTTTGTTGGCGAGTTTCTCGCAAAATGCATTGAGCCAGCTTTTTCGTTAAACACGCTTGATGAAATCGCGCCAAGCAGGATTTTTTTATTGGCTCGCACGGTTTGTGTTTCAGCCACGACAAGAAACCAAAAAATTAAAATTATTATCCAGATGAGATCACTTACATTCGTTAGCACGAATGCGCGAACCCGACTATGTGGGACGACATTTGCGAATGCCTTCGCTAAGTTTTCACTACATTCGTGCTTTTCCAAGCTATGTCGGTTTCTTAGCGCACATCAAATACGCAAATTGCTTAGTCTCCCACACATTAGGGGCGTGCCCATGGCTTCAGAATAGGGTAAGCCCAAAGCTTCCAAAATTATTATACCTATCTTACTTTCTTGACTTGGCGAGCTTAAAAAAATTACGATTTGTATAAGATTCTTAATTTTATTTTGTGTTATATTACAATGATATTAAATTTCAATTAATTAGTAGTTGACAATTATCTAGAAAGAGAGGCAAGGATTTTATTTAAGTGCATGAGTTACCATTAGGTATACGATTATACCTACACTTCTGGACACATCTATTGGCCCACCTTGTATTTTCAGTTTCGTTTGGTCCTAGCTAAAATTTTATATTAGGTCGAGCAAAAAGTTTTTATGCAGTTTTGAACCTGGCACATTCACAATTTCATTCAATAGTCTTTTTTTGAATTTCGAACACAGAATTTAAAGAAACAAAAGACAATTTGGAGCCTGTTTGTTGATATCAAACAATCGAATACTAAGAAAACTTGGTTTTATTGGTTTACTTGGATATAATTCTTGAAAAAGTGATTGATATCTTTGGTTTTGCAACAAAGATTACTTATTCTTAACATTAAGGTGAGGTTCTATCAATAATCTATGGATACTTCACCTGAAGTCGCCGCCCAAGCTGTGGCACTTATTCAGGCCGGACACAGCCAAAGAAACGCGAGTGCTCAACTTAATTTAAGTCGATCTGCGGTCCGAAATGTTTATCGGAGGTACCTAGAGACTGGCGGCTTTGTTCGTCGCCAAGGAAGGCCACGATCTCGGGTCACAACTGAAAGGCAGGATCGATTCATCGTGACGACCAGCTTGAGAAATCGTCACCTTACCTCCATTGAGATACAAAAACAAATTCGCGACTTCCACGGAGTATCTGTGAGCGCTCGAACTGTTCGGAGAAGGTTAAAAGAACGCGATATGGTACCACACAAGCCAGCTAATGGGCCCAAACTAACGCGAGCCCACCGAATAGCGCGCCTTCATTTCGCACGCAGTCATTTAAATTGGACACAGCAAAATTGGAGCCGTGTACTCTTTTCTGATGAGTCTAAAATTGTGTTACATGGCAATGATGGAAGGAAGAAGGTCTACCGACGTAAGGGAGAGCGTTTCGCACAATGCTGCTTTGAAGAGAGGATTGCTTATGGCGGTGGCTCATGGACTGTCTGGGGCGGTATATCCGCGAGCGGCAAAACTCAACTTGAGGTTGTTACAGGACCACGGCTGCCAACATTAAATGCTGAAAGGTACATTCGTGAGTGCTTAGAACCTCACGTGATACCATACGCGGACTATGTGGGCCCAAATTTCCTTTTTATGCATGATAATGCAAGAGCTCATGCGGCCGGCATCGTCAGGGATTATCTTCGGGATGTGAACATCACAGTTATGGACTGGCCAGCCAGAAGCCCAGACATGAACCCTATTAAGCACATGTGTTACTCATCACCATAAGAATTTCTAGCCTTACAGACAGACCGTTACTCGGAGGGTTCAGTAGCTTTCCTACTATTACTTCCAATAACAGCACTGCAACGACATGTAATTGATTCTATCAATGCATACATTTTTCTAGGGCGATTCAAAATTTTAAATCTTTGGGGGGATTGAATTCCATGCTTCAACAAATGATTTATACAGTTCGTTTTGACTGGTGTTACGTTTATTTGAGACTTTCTTTTTAACAATATAACAGATTTTCTATCGGGTTTAAATCCCGACTATTAATAGAAGATCCGAACCTACATCGACCGTCACCGAGCTGATAATAGAATGAAACATATTTTATTATTAATTTAGTATATCAGTAAATATATTAAAAATGGGTTGCCTAAACAAATGCTGGACAGACTATTTTTAATTAATTTTTAAATAGGTAAATAATTTTAAATAAATTTTGCATCATAAAGATAATAAATAGTTTTAAAAAAATCTAGAAAAAAACTTTTTTATAAATTCACGTAAAAACCAAAAATAAATTATGGATCGTTCAAGTTGTCGCTATTTCTGGACTGAAGTGTAAACTACGCACATCAAAAAAAGTTTGAGATCACTTGTAAAAGCTGATATACATATTTTCAAAATTTAACTTAATCAAGAGAAAATGTTTACGTTACATCTTTTTTTATTTAAAAATACACTTTCTGAAATTAAAAAATAAGATAATTTTTATATTTAGTATAAAAATTTAATAATTCAATCCTAAGGCGATTGTTATAGAACTTTGATAGAAATAAAAAGATAGTTAAACCAAACTTAAAAAACTTTTATTAATCAATTGTTGTTTATCTAATACTAAATAACTCCTCCTCTGGCTGGCATGCTGAGGATCAAGTTATCCAGCATTTCTTGTGGTAACCTGTTCCATTCTTGAACAGCAGCTTCCCTGAGCTGCGGCACTGTCTGGGTGGTGGCTGCCGGTTCCAAACAGCTCGCTTAAGAGCATCCCACGCGTGCTCTATTGGGTTTAAATCAGGTGAGCCGGCAGGCCACTCTAACCTTGTGATTTCGTATTCTCGGAGACCAGCATTGACTCGTTGAGCTCGATGTGCGGGCGCATTATCGTCAACCAGTACAAATTGGTGCCCATGGTTTACTCGGAAAGGTCTGACGATTCCATCAATAGCGACTGTTTTGTATCTCTCTGCCGTCATGAAGCCTTGATAAGGGATTAAATGCGTTAGCCTCAACCATAATACCACCCCAAAAGGAGACTGATTTCCCGCCTTGCTGGACCATTCCAGTGGCCGTTCTTTGCCTTTCAGAGTCTCCAGGTCTTCTCCAAACACAAACACGCACACGTCGGTTATCTGGATGAGTACTGATTCGCGATTCGTCAACGAAAAGGCAGTTTTGCCAAATGTTTTCCTCTAGTGCTAGCCAAGACCTCTGTGCTCGTGATCCAGCTTTGTCAGCAGCAGCCATCAGAGCAGCTCGATGGTACCATAATATTGTATTGTCATCTAATCTACATATTCAAGCCAAGCCAAGTTTCATGATGATACAAGAATGAGAAGTTCGTGCAATTCAGATCCTTAGATTTCATGACATAGTAAGTTACATACAAGACGACCTAATAAAAGGGTTTAATAAGAAAATTTTGTCCTAACTTAAAGTATAAAACGTATAGAATGACAATAACACTAAACACACGGTCAATGCTCATAATCATTATACTTGAGATCAAAAATAAAGACTAACAAGGTTTTTGAAATTGAGGGGTAAAAGTGTGACTGAAAGATTGTATGAAAAATCGTATTCCTTGGTTTAATAGACCTGAAACTTGGCACAAATACTTATCTAAATAAATTTAAAATTTTATCACTTCCCTAAACTACGCTCTAAAAAGGGGACTGAGAGTATCCAAGTTTTATATGGATGAATTTTAACGCGCGGTTGGATTAACTCGAAACGTAGGTTCCTTATGAGGTCTAAGGGACTTTGAAAGGATCTTTCAAATTACCGCCATAAGGTAGTGAATCGGGGGTCTAAAGTTTACAACACAAGATTAGTTACACATGGGTACTCCTATCGATAAATGAGTAAACAATTGCTTCAGTTTTTTTTATAGTTCAACCCGTAAGTGGAATGGAAATGAAAGGTGGAAATGGGACGACAGGCTCAAAATCTCCTCGCTTATTCCTTGTGGGCACCCCTTCTGATTTTCTGAAATTCTGATCAGATTTGGGAATACTGAAATCAATTTATTCGTAAACAAGTAATTTAAAATATCCAACGGCGTAGTGGAATCATCAATAAACATCGATAATAATTCGATTTCAAGAGCTCGAACTTTTCCATGTCTGAAGAGCCAGCTTGCCAAAGTTTATTTTCTAAATTAGAACAATGTGCTTTTTTTTTGTATCCGAGTCCAAATCCTTCCATTGTGTCAATTTTTGATGAAATGAAAAAACTACATTATTTTGATTGAGAAGTTCGAACCGTTTGTCGAACTTAGTAATTGCGGTGTCTAATAAATAGTAGTAAAAATTGTCTTTAAAATGTATTTTCGCGTCTGTGATCGGTTCATCCTCCGCCTCATAATTAAAAACCCTTTTACGAGCGCGAGGGCGCGCAGGTGTGGGAAATTCTGCTATTGCCTCGACTTTTTCCGCTACAGTTTTCCCGCTGTTAAGGAGCTTTTCAAAAGCGGAGTCATTACGGAATTCAGATAAACTTATTTTTGCATTATCAATCATTTTCACCGCTTCTGACAATACATCATCTGACTTTTGAAGTGCCTTGCTAACTATATTTCTCTTGCTTAAAATTTCAAACCAAATAAGCAGAGAGTAGATGAATTTAAACGACTTAATTTTTCCCAGTAATGAATTTGCCATATTTTTTGACTCCGCATCTTTGCTCCTATCGGAATATATGGTAAAAAAGGCATCATACACTTTTCCCAGTTCAAAACGTAGAGCTTTTACTGCTTCAACCCTGCTTTCCCATCGAGTATTTGAGAGTGGTTTTAAACTGAAAGTTGGCACTTCTTTAGCAAGTATTTGCCACCGTGCTGTTGACGCAGAAAAAAAAATCTTGCACAATTGAAAAGAAATTTAGTATTTCTAATGAACTTGTAGCAGCGTCATGCACTACCAAATTAAGGCTATGTGCCGCACATGGTACATAAAATGCGCGCGGGTTTATATCTAAAATTCGTTTTTGAAGACCTACATTTTTCCCTTTCATGTTTGCACCATTATCGTAACCTTGACCACCTATATCTTGTATGTCAATTTCGTTTGAGATTAAAAAATCTAACAAAAATTGAGTTAAACCCAAGCCAGTAGTGTCTGTAATAGGAAAAAAACCCAAAAAGTGTTCTTTTACTTCAGCCTTGCTGTTGCTTGCATTTAAAAGGACGAACCGTACGACAACTGATATTTGTTTTTCGTGTGCAACATCTGGTGTGCAATCTAAAATAATTGAATAATATTTGGATTGTTTCAATTCCAAAACAATAGCTTTTTTTATTCTTTCTCCTAATTATTGTATTAGATCATTCTGAATATTATGGCCAAGATAATGAGTTAGGCGTGACTCAGATTTTTGAATAAGGGCAATGTGTTCCGCAAGCACATTATCAAAATTAGAGGTATATTCAACTAGCTTTAAAAAGTTATTCAGTTATATACCATTATCAGAGTGGATTTTTTTTTCAGATCTGCCCCGAAAAGCAAGACATTGCCTAGCTAAAAAATTATTTATGTTAATTATTCGTTCGAGTACTGCAACCCAACGTTTTTTTCCCGTTCAATTTCTTTTTGGTTCAAGGAATCTACCGACTTTTCTTTTAAAATAACAGTTTTCAATGTGATTTGTTTCTTAAGACATGATAGGTGCCCTAAGCTCTTTTCATGACGCTCTACAGCAATAGATAAATGCTGCCAATCTTTGTAACCTATTTCAGCATTGGAAGCAGTGACATCAGCACCAAAAAGTTTACAATAAAAACAATAAACAGAATCAGTTGATTTGGAGTAAACCAACCAATTCCTTAAAATGGTTTCATTATTTAACATCTTTTTAGTATAATAAGCATTTGAAAAAGATCTTTTCGAACTATTCAAAGGATATGAACCTAATTTTACCTGAACTGGCCCACGCTCCATCAAAAATATCCTCTGTTTATCAGATAACACCTGTGGCCATAACGCGAGATCATTCATTACATCTTCTCGAAGTATATTCTTCGGACACGCTTCGGCACAAAGAGGTTCTGCGTCTTCTTCGACAGCCGATGATATACAGCAGTGGCAGTGGCGTTGAAGGGACGAGTTCTGCTGTAGAATCATATATCTCTGTCTCCAGGTGTTTGTCCGAAGATGGACCGGGTCAAACAATAAACCTTTCAATAGAACTTGTATTCTATTTCAGAGATTCTTCCTTCTCCAGTTTTCTTTTTCGGCTCTGTGCTCCAGAAAGTTTCTTTTTTCCATCGCCATCAGACATCTAAATTAAATAATAAAATAAATATGGGCACCTAAAAGTACTATCGATGTAAATTAATATACGCCAAGCGAAATAGTTGTAACTTGAACCAACTATTATTTATTATATGACACATACCAATCAAAATCGCGGTAAGTACCTACGTGTTACGCAATCTAACAAAAAATAAAATAAAAAACCGGTCAAGTATGAGTTGGACTCGCGACACTGAGGGTTCCGTAGAAATATGAGTAAGTAAAAGAAAATCAAATTTGAAAAAAATTGGTCGTCCATCCAATTTGGCTAACCCCAATTTTCGATTTTAGTAATTAGTTGTTATAGCGGCAACAGAAATACATCATCTGTGAAAATTTCAACTCTCTAGCTATCACGGTTCAACAGATACCTACATCCTGGTGACGTGCGTATGTGACGGACGGACGGAGAGACGGACAGACAGACAGAGAACGAAGTCTCGGTAATAGGGTCCCGTTTTTACCCTTTGGGTATGGAACCCTAAAAGTAGTTCGTTGTTCAATGTTTAGGTTAGGTACATATAGGGCTGCCATTCGTCCGGGTTTCCCCGGATTTGTCCTAGTTTACGGGGCGTCCGGGGAGCGTCCGGGCGGGGAGTTCATTTGTCGTCCGGGTTTAAAAATTTCCTGTTTTGGGTTGCCAGTTAATCCGTCAATTTAAATGTCTTTGAAAATAAATAAATAACCATAAATGCTGACTTCCAACAAAGATCAGCTTTGTCGCCCATACTGTCCGCAATAACAGCATTCGTTGCTATGTGGATGACAGCACTGAAACTTTTTACACTAGCCGGTCAAGCATCCCTCGGATGGAAGAAGAAGGGTGTAAAGACAGACTTGTGTCCGAGATTGAGATGTTACTGGATCAAGTCTCAAATTGGAGCCAACAAAATTTGATTGGATTAACCCAGCAAAGACACAAGTGTGTGTGAAAAAGCTTGTGTGTTCAATAGATCTAGTAAGTACCTCAAGCCTAAATATAGGGTGTTACTTTACAAAGCACTGGTCCTCTGGGCTGGAGCACCCCAATACCAGCTCCTTCCTCTTGACCGGATACAAAAGCGGGCATATCGATGCTCCTGAGCTCACTCACGCGTTGCAACCCCTTAGCAAGCGCAGACGGTACAACACGTAAAATGACGCAACTCCTTCTACGTGTCGTACCGTCTATACAATCAATGGAGAGTGTTCCGAGGAATTATTCAACTGGATGCCAGTGGCCAAGTTTCTTCACAGCACCACACACCGCAGAGAAGTTTCCCGCCCATCATCTGGACGCCTGGCGTTCGAGCACCATGTGTTTCTTTCTTTTGTGTACCAGCACGATCTAAAACGAACTTTCCTCAGTATTTTTTTCTTATAACTATGATATGGCAATCTTAAAAAGGCGGATGAACCTTTTCGTTCAGAGCCGGCAACGCATGAGTGGTCCTTGGTGCTGCAAGTGTCCATGGGCAGCAGTGACCACTTATTATGAGGTAGATCGCTAGCTCCTTTGCCTATATCAACATAAAAAAAGTTGATTTGTGACATTTTTAACCGTTTTTTTATTGGTCTGTCCGGGTTCTGGGCTCCAAAATCCGGGGTTATCACGCCTCTGATCCTGGTTGCCACATTTTAGAGATGGCAGCCCTAGGTACATAAAAGTAAGAACTAAATAAATACCTACTAAGTATACTAGTAAGTACATATGAAAGCAGTTTAACTTACCGTTGCGTAGTTTGTTCCGCAGGCACTGCACTCGGATGAAGGAAAAGAAATCCTAGATATACCTATGTGTTTACTTCGATATCACTATCACCCGTTGTTTATTTTTTTTCGCTGCCTGTTTTTGATGACATTTGATCCCGATGCACGTCGCAATAATTGTGTGAAAAATTAACCAAATCATATCTAATATATATTTTTTATCAAAAGAAAAGCCGCGCCCCCTTAGACCCGGCGCCCGTGTGCACCGCACACCCTGCACTATAGGTAAAGCCGCCTCTGCACCGCGCCTTTCCAGGTCTTCTCTCAGCTTCCTTATTATCTGGTCCTTCTCCTCCATAACACGCATTAACTGCAGAACCTCAACCTTGTCTGAATACTTCGCACTCCTAAACACACTCAGGAGTGTGGATAGGAGTGCACACTCCTGAGTGTGGATAAGGATATCGTTATCCTCCTCCCTCTGGGGAAAATCATTTCGCGCCTTTGCCATCTTCCTCTTCCCCCGACAAGCAGTATGGATCTTCGGGGGTGTGGGTGTAATTCCCCGAGCCTCGTCGTCGTCTCCACCGCTGAGGCATAGCACACCTCCAGCTTCCTCTCCATCACACACGGACCCGGATATCCCGCAGCGCCGGTGGCTAGCCGGAGCGCATAAGCTGCTAGTAGTCAACTTCTCACCCTGGGGCCCAGCTACGCTACCCCAGAGCGCCCGGCGTCAACGGGAGCGCATAACAGACAGAATTCCATGGACGACATTCCACATACGATTTTGTCTCTTCCGGGCGAGGGAACCCTACCTGGCCTCTTCAACTGGGTTATTTTTGAAAAGGTTTTCTTCCTTGTAGGGTTGTCTTTATAATGCAACGCGAAAGTTTCAGTGTAAAAACGAAAATATATTACAGATAGCGCCTACAGATTTATATAAGGCAATGTGCTGTAACAAATTGATTGTGTCCTTTATCGGAAGTAATTCAAAGGACAATGTTAAAATTGGCCTAAGAACCAACACCAATTTGGCATTTATGATAATTCTTAATATATTTTTTGGGATAATTATCAGTATTTAGATTGTGACGGACACTTCCAGTTAAGTAAGCTAAATTAAAGAGTTAAAAAATAATCTGAGACAATAAATACCATTTTAAGTGTATAATCTATGACAGCGCTGCAAACAAAACACTCTTTCTTTCTTATGCCGGCACTTCACTTGCTATTCGTATTTGCTAAATAGCAAATGCAAAAGCGTATCTATGTCATATTAAAACATGACATCAGTCTGTCCTTTTCATTCCTTATTAAGCATGACAAGGACAAACTGTTGTCAAGCAAAGGGCCGGCATAAAACTCGATACTCTGTGGTTGTGGTGCAAGCAGGCAGTTTGCATTCGTAGTAATCTGTGGCATTTGTGCATTCCAAAGAGTAATATAATATACAGGAAAGTGCATTCTCGTTTCGGATTACCTGTTTACCTGTTGTTTGTGTGTGTTTATTTGCGATTGTTTTTCCTTTAATTTAACTATTTCGGCCATCGATGTTATCAAAGAGCAGAGACCTTATTACCAAGTGCTAATGAACTTGTGTCACAACATCCTGAGAGAATCATACTGCCAAATTATTCAAGAACACCTGATACACATTCACGCTGCATATTTACACAATATACATGTGATGTACAAATAAATACCATATACAATATGATACAATTATGTGAAAAATAGTCGATAAATAAGAAGCAAAACTACAGTTTTTATTAAACGGTTTTATTTAGCTCACCCCGTTTGTTTTTTTTTATTCATGATTCCTACCTATCCAAAGTTTTCCTAATAGTTATTCTTTAAAATCGCACCGAATAAAATGATGAGTGATTGATGAAATGAAATGATTAGTTCTAATATTAATTCACTTCATACTAAGTTCATAGGTCAACCTATGTTTCATTGAATATTAAACATAACCTCGAAAACATTTA